GCTAACAGAATAAACTAAGGCGCGAATTTGACCAATTAAGTAGGTGACGCCATTATTTCTAACTCAATTTTCTCTTACCAATATTGTGTTTCCGATTCGTCACTTGGTAAGTAATTCAATTCGAAGTTAATTTTCAAATGCTCGGGGTAGTTTAAGTTCATTCTATTTTTATGATTACGGTTATTCGGGATCGGGTTTTTTACTGTAGTGTGAAATTAAGTTTTTAGTACGTTTTTGAAATAGGCTGTTTGAACCAGGGATTGAAATAAAGAAGTACTAAAATTTTATATTTTTAGAATTTTATGAATAAAACACGGTTTTTATTTTAGTGCATAAATTATTGTTAGAGTAAAAAAAGAAGTATAAGTTCAAAATAAAGTTCGTTTTAATTTTTTATTGAGATATTGAATATATTTTATTTAAAAAATAATTAAACATTCTCCTTAATTCAAAATATTGAAACAATGGATGGCTATATTTCATATATATGGAATATTTCATTTTTGATCAGGAACACCATCAATTAATAACATTTGATTGTTAAAACTTAAATTTACATTATCCTTTAGCTTCTCACTTACATAAAGCTGAATAAATGACAGTTTTTAAATAAAATAGTTATTTTAGTTATTCTTATGTCAATCTCCGGTTTAAATACATTGATGTGTGTGTTAGTGATAATCAGCAAGAAAGAAGAAACTACAATATTCAATATTCCAAGGTAAGGTGCACAAAATAAATAACAAAATAATTTTTTGGATTTTTAACTAATTTTATTTGTTATTACTTATATTGTAACTAATGTTCTTACAGTTATAAACAAAACAATATAAATAATAAAAGATATAATTATTGATCTAAAATAAATTTTTGTAAAATGAAAAACACCCCATAATATAGATACTTTTTTAAAATAAAAAGACTATAGCATGGAAAGATTTTGGATAACAGGTAAGTAAAATTATGTAATTAGATTTGTTTATTTTATTTTGTATATAGTATGTATAACTAATATTTTCTTTACTGATTTATCTTTATCTTTACTTTTTATGTTTGTTTTTATTTGGCCAGATAAAACATTTAAATTTTGTACTTTTTTTTTTATTCTGAAGGGACTTCGTCCCAGAATAAAATTATTTTCTATTCTATTCTATTCTAATTACATAATATTATATAAATAATTTTATGTATTTTAATAAAATCTTCATATTTAGTATTTGTTAAATCTGATAAATGCAGCAAGTTATTCCTTGGATTTGCTGCTGTTACTGAGGAAAATTCCCTTCTCATCATCCACTTCCTTCATTTGCTCATTCATTCAGGCAGCATTAGGTCTAGGTGTTTGCTAGGACATGGAGTAATCATGAATTCAATAGGGAGAGCCTCATCACTGATATTACTGCATGCACAGGCGGATCTACGGGGGAGAGGAGGGGCTTTTGGGCTGAAGTACCATACTTCGTACTCAAATAGAGTACTATTAATTTGCTCCAAAAATAGTGAATCGGATGTTCTGTTAGTTTGTGGAAGGTTGAAAAAAATATTGAAGTGAAAAATATTCACCCTCATATGATTTTTTACAGATTATATATAAATACAGTAACACAAAACTCGCTGAAAGTGTTCAGAGAGATATTGATTTTTTAAAAAATTAGACTCAAGTTATCCACAAATTTTTGACTTCATACAAGAAAATTTGGACTTGTCTCAGTTTTTCCTGACAGACCTAAGAGAACAAATAGATTATATTCATCTGATGTTAGGTGTTATAAATAGATGTTATGCAATGCTAAAATGCCCAATAGAACACCTGTAATTTGCTTAAAAAATAGCTGATATTAAAAAAAGAACCTCAGATCTTCACGGAGAATGACTCTGGATGATTAAAAAGCTCACATCATTGGAGTGGATATTTGCATTTAAGTGTAAGATATCAAAAAATACACACTCCCGAATGTGTACATGGGGACAGTTTTATTTTATCACCCAGAGTACAAATAAATAGTGGTACATCACCACAAAAAATCACTTATTTATTACAAAAATCTTCTGTTATTATATTTGTATGTTAAACACAATGTAAGCATGTATTACAAATAGGATGTTTATACTTTTAGCAACACATCACTAAATTTTATGTTAGATGGTTTTAGTGGCTCTGGCTTTAAGGTTTACTAAAAACTAAAATCAGACAAAAATCTTCAAGATTTAGGTTACATTACATTATTTATTACTAAAAATCTTTCCATACTAAAAATAATGTATATTTTATTTTACTAAGACAGTGTTTTTCATTTTGCAAACTCTTCTAAAATATTATGAATGTATGCTTTGTCAAATAATGTTGCTTTATCTCAATCAATAATGGATCTACAGCACAGGAGGATCTACGGGAGGAAGGGGGGCTTTCGGATTGAAGCCCCCCTCCTCAAAATTGTTAAATATTACTATGTCTTATTAAACAAATATTGAAGAAGTATCTCTAAAAGTATTATTTTTCATGTAAGTAATTACATTTAACAGGACTTAAAAAAATCACTTAAACACCATCTCGTATTGGTAGTTAGTTTCTTTCTTTTTTTCCCAAAGTAATTATCGTTATAAATTAAAAAAAAAAATCTTTTGGGCTGAAGCCTCCTCCAAAATGAAATCCTGGATCTGCTAGTGATCTGATCTACCGAGAACCATTAGATGTTACTTTGTTTCAAATTTAGTCCATTTTAAAATTAGTCTAATTATCTTAGCTGAAAATAGGTTTTTTTTACAGTTAAAGACACTTAAATTGTACATTTTCTACAAATTAAAAGAAAATTAAACTAACGATAACTTGAAAAGTATTGAATCTGAAGAAATAAATTCGGTTAAACAAAGAAATAAATCAAGCTCTATTAAAATTAATAGTTATATTATATGAGATGACGACTAATTTATCTAATGAACTATTTTGAGTAGAAATATCTATTTTCATAAGTAGGGAATTTTAAGTAAAAACTAAGGATGACATAACATATTCATTTAAAACCGTTAATTACCACATTTTATTCCGTCCCATTTAATCTATAAAATTTATGCATTTTTCATCACTCTATTGCTTTCTACAACTGTACATATATTAATTTTTTTCTTAACTCTTTAACTTCCTGGCAGTAAATTATACATCCAGAGGTGTCCAGAAGGGAGTTTCAAGGCACAAGTTGCGCCATGAAAAATTTTTGAGGAAGCACATTTCGGCATGGAACACTGAGAACAGAGCGCAACAAGTATAATTGTATATGATCTACAATATTTTAATTTTTACTTTTGTTTTCACTGTTATTAAGAGAAGAGAAATAAAATATCCTGGGATGGAGGGAGATTTATGCAACATCAACCTTGGGGGGGGGGGGGAGGAGATGGGCACTCTTGTATATATCTACATATAGAATGATTTTTATCTGCAGAAATTCCTTTTTAATCTGGGAAAATGTATCTCCTTAAGTTAATCGTAAAACCGTTTGATAGTTTATATTTATCTTTTTTATATTATTCCTAACAATGAGGGATGTTTTTTATTTGAAACCAACATAATTTTATATAAAAATTCAATTTTAGGTCATAAAAAACACAGGACGCAGTCATTTTAAGATTTTTATTGTTGCCAATGTTTCAACCTAAGCATGTAGGTAATCGTCAGGGAATGTTACCAGAACTGAAGATGTCCAAGTTCATAATATGCCCTGATGTTGACCCACATGCTTAGCTCGAAACATTGGCAACAATAAAAATCTAAAAATTATTGCGTCCTAACTATTTATCCTAAAAGTCCTAACTATGTAATTTTATTAAAGGTCAGAAATTTGACTTTTTTCAAGAATATGACTTAAAAACAAAGAATTTTTACTATTATATTTTATTAATATTAATTTAACCATCTTCGGTGAAGTCAATAAAATCATGAATTGACAGGTACATATTATAGGTACATTTGAAAGGTATATACCATCAAAATATATTTCGTATATAATTATTTTTATACAGCAATGTTCATAATAGTCACATGAACAATGAATTATTGAAGAAAGTTAGTAGACTGTTCTACATATCATAAGTGTTAAATAGTCGGGACGCAGTCATTTTAAGATTTTTATTGTTGCCGTCCTTTCAACCCAATCATGTGTGTCATCAGGACATGTTATCAGTACTTGAAACACCTTCTGTACTGATAACGAGCCCTAATGATATCCCACATGCATGGGTTGAAATGTCAGCAACAAAAATCTTTAAATGACTGCGTCCTGACTATTTATCACCTATAATTTTATTCACTAATTTCGTTATCTAAAGTCATGAATTAGAGTTTCTTTGATTTGGCACAGTTGAAATTACTATATTATCATTGTCCATTTTGTTCTATGAGTTTATTTTAATTATACTGTTTATCGCCTATGATATGTAGAACAGTCGAATAATTTTGTTTACCTTATAACTGAAGCCAAGTTTTTAATCAGCAATATCTTCTTTTCTGGCTAAATACGAACTTAAATAATTTATTGTATATTTAGTTCTTATTTACTCTATTAACTTAATTTATTTTTCTAAGAGTAAAATCTACATCCTCGGTTTATGATAAAAAGTCACTAAGTATAGTTTATAATATAAAAAAAATTCCACTCCCGGTTAGCCAATTTTGATAATAAAGTTGCTGTAACATCTTAGGTATATACAAACCTTAAATACGCAATTTCACTTTCATACGACTTTTCGTTTTTGAACTAGACATGTCATACACACACACACACACATATATATATATATATATACATATATATACACACGCACACACCATTTTGCGGGACTTGGTTATTTGGATTCAGGAGACCTCAAAACATGTATTTCCGTTGAAAACTCAGATTTGAAAATTTTCAGGATCGTGACACTGTCCCTTACTATATATTTCATATATAGGTAAGTGAAAGTAAAAAAATAGAAGAAATATCTTCTCAAAGAAACATATTAAAAAATATTGTAAAAGGAACTTTATTTCAACATACTACAATATCACAAACTTAAACAATATCTCACTAAGTAAATATCAAACTGGCTTTCTGAATGTAAACATATACCAAATATCTTTTGACAATTACATTGCCACTTAGCCGAAATTTTTAACAACCAAATTAACAAATGTTGTTTATCACAATTTTTTTAATATCACATTTTGAAAAGTGATTACAGTAAAAGTGAATATAGATATCAAATTAAAAAGACAAAATTAATGTCAAAGAATAGTATCATTATGTATTCATGAATATTTTTTAAAATGAAATAGTTAAAGATTGTAAGAAAATAAAAAACAAATTTACCTTTGAATAGCTAAAATAAGAATTAAATTACCCTGATTCATGATTGGCAAATTATTATTAATAATAATTAATAAGATGAAAAATTAACAATAACAGAAATAGGATACTGTCCAGAACTTAGAAACCTAGTTTTCAGTCTATACAAATAATTTATATTTTTACAATAGTTATAATTAAGTCATTAATCTAATGTTCACATAATGTATATTTTATAAAATAAAAGTAAAACCAGATCAGGTGAGAATACTAACAATGAATCCAAATCATTTATCAAGAGACAAGTTTACGGATTCTTGTTTTTGAGCATAGAAATTTTTTGGTGTTCTTGATCGGAGAATACCAGCAATTATCTTGTGATGAGGAGTTCCTATTGCTCTTGCTATTTCAAAAGGAGTATGACCATCTTCATTACGAATATCTATCTTTGCTCCCCTTCCAATAAGCAGTTTAACCATTGGAATGTTTCCATCAAATGCCGCCAAATGAAGAGGGGTCGAAAGAGTAGAATCTAATGCATTTATATCCAAGCCTTTATTCAAAAGCCACCTGGTGGTCTTTGGCCATTCTTGTAGAACAGCAATGTGCAAAGCAGAGGATTTGTTATAATTGACCATAGTCAAATCCCCACCTTTTTCAACAAGCAGTTCTAAGATTGGAATACTGCCAACTATAGTAGCAGTTAGAATGGGAGTTTGACCATATGCTCCCTTGCAGTTGACATCTACACCAAAATTAAGCATCGCCCTCACGACATCTATATCTTCATCGTAGATGGCAATATGAAATGGAGGATCTCCACCAATCTCATCTGGTTCGGCAAGCGTTTTCCTCATGGCATCTATTGGTATGTTATCAGGCAACACGAAGTGTTCGCATATTAATTCCAAATCAGTTTCAACCTATAAAATCATATTGACATAATTAAATATGATTTTGAAGCATACAAAAATAAATTGAAAATTAAATATCCTTAAGAAAACAACAAAGTCCACAACCCCTCAAATATAAGTATATATAACCCAAATATAACATAAAAAAAAAAAGGTACTGTAACATCCTAAGCATATAAAAATCTTAAATATGAAATTTCACTTACATACGACTTTTCATTTTTGAGCTAGACTGTTAACACACCCACCCACCCACACAAAATAACAAAAATCTTAAAATGACTGCGTCCTGACAATTTATTACCTATGTAATTTTATTCATTAATTTCGTTATCTAAAGTCATGAATTAGAGTTTCTTTAATTTGGCACAGTTGAAATCACTATGTTATCATTGTCCATTTCATTCTATGACTTTATTTTAATAATAAGTTTATCATATTATCTTCATTCATTATATTTAATTATATGTTTATTATATTATCATTATGTTCCTGTTTTATTCTGATCAATGACTTTTAGATTCATCATTTAAGTAGAACAAAATTTAAGTGATTAAAATGAAGGAAAAACATTCAAAAGGAAGGAAAATGTCCCAAAGGTACATACAATAACATATCATATAGAGATGGGCAAAAATGTACTCTGAGTAAAAAGTACAAATTACAGAGTAGTTTACTCAAATACTCCTCCGGTTCGAGTACCAAATACTTAATCACTACTCGACCTCATGATTGACGAATACAAAAAGTAATCAGCTGACCTCGTGAGTACTTTCTATTTTCAAATCTACTCAGAAATATTTTACTCTGAGTACTTTTCAAAGTAATCGAGTATTACATTATAAAAATTACAGGAGTAGAATATTTAATATTTCTTCCATATTTAAGGCCATTGTTACCTTATGGGGGTATAGTTTTTTAAAATAGTATCAATATTAATGTAAATCGATAAAATAAAGAATTATTAAAATATTTTGGATTTAATCAATTTTGGGGACCATTTTTTTTTTTCTTTTTTTCTACACCACTTGACTTTTATGAAAATGATATGGAATTTGAGATTGGGCCCCTCCCCCGGGCCTGACTTTTTTCAACTTATTGGATTATATCGACATCAGGGTCGACTATTATGTTTTGGGGGGCGCTTTTTATGAAAATGATATCGAATTTGAGATTGGGTCCTCCGCTCCACGACTTTTTTTTAACTTTTTGGATTAAATCGATATCAGGGTCGATTCGTATGTTTTGGGGAGGCGCTTTTTATGAAAATGATATCGAATTGGGGCCCAATCTCAAATTCGATATCATTTTCATAAAAAGCGCCCCCCAAAACATACGAATCGATCCTGATATCGATTTAATCCAAGGAGGGCCCAATCTCAAATTCGATATCATTTTCATAAAAAGCGCCCCCCAAAACCTAATAATTGACTCTAATTTCGATTAAATCTGAAATGTTAAAAAAATTCGAGGCCCGGGGGATCCAATCTCAAATTCTACATCATTTTCATAAAAAGCGCTCCCCCCCCAAAACAAAATAGTCGGCCCTGGTATCGATTAAATAGGAAAAGTTATGATAATTTGATGCCCAGGGGTACCTTCTCAAATCGAATAACATATTTTTATAAAAAGGGCCCCCCAAAACATGATGGTTAGTCTAATATCGATTAATGGGGGGTTAGGGTTGGTCAGGTTGAATATGGCCGCTATCATTGAAGGAAATAAAAGAAAACATTTATACTCTTTATAATAATGAAGGAGTAGTTGAAAAATAAAAAGTACTCTTTGTAGGAATTTGGCTGAGTACTTTCTGTAATTCGATATAACACCGCGAGTACTTTCTGTACTTAACTAAATCATGATTAATGCTGCGTGAGTACTCTCAGTACTTGCCGATGTCAGGCCGAGAGTACAGAAACTACTCGATACTTTTTCCTAATAAAATTACTCAAATCATGAAAGTAATCGAGTACTGCCCATCTCTAATATCATAGTTGAAACTTTAATCCTAAAATCATCTTTGGATTCACTAAATATTTTTCATCTTAGAGGTTTTTTTTATAATTCATAGAAGATAGATTTGATAAAAAAATGTTGGTATACCTGATTTAATGGTCCATAAGGTTTATCAGAGACTTCTTCACCATCATTACCAGAATTCTCAGCACTTTCACAACCACAGCCACAGTCACTCGAAGGGCCCAATAAATGAAGCTAAAATATTTAATTAAAAAAATGCATATTGAAATGAAACAGATATTATATGACAAGGAATTAATTATACACTGATTAATTTGGATGATATTAGGATTCTATACAGTTAAAAGTGTATACTTTTTGAGTTATTAAAAAATCTAGTTTTACCACCCCTCAACTTTTTTCCAGCTCCTTTTCAGTGAAATATGTTATATTAATAAATTTAAAGGGCTTCGAAGGATGAGACTTTAGCCAAGTTTCATTGAAATCTGTACTCTCATTTAGGTGCTACAATCTATAGGGTACAGATTTTTCGGCCACCATCTTGATAGGAAAGTACTTTTTGGTGAAGTATAATACATACATAAATTTAAAAGGCTTTGCGGAGAATTTGGTTGTTTCATTAAAATCAGTACACCCATGTCTTGAAACATATAACCTCAAATTTAGAGGAGGGTAGTTAACTTACCCATATTAATAAACATATATTAAAATGAGACTACAAAGTTTGCAAACTGCAGATTATAAATACTGTGTTCCCTCATCCTGCAACTTGTGCCATTAGTTATGCCCATCTTCTCATGATATTTTATTTAATTAATTGTTGGTAGTATGAAAGGAATCTTATGAATAATTTATTTAACTTCAATGTAGGTCCAACATACTAACAAACCTCTACTTAATATGAAAAATCCATAAAACTAAAATAATCATTATAGAAGAGCATGCAAACCAGCCTTGAAATAGTTATTTATGTTCATCATCAATAATCTTTAATGATGCAAAAAAAAGATGACTTCATTAGGATTCGATTCAATAGCCTTCAAAAGAAACATGCGTAAAATAATAACTTAGGGATAATTTTCAGTAAGAAAGATTATTATTCATCAGTCTATAATTAAAATTAATGCTATTCATTATATCTAAATCATCTCTTATATTTTCATAATTTTCAGCTATTTTTTTTTGTTTCCCTACTATTCATTTATGTTCTAACACTAATACTTGGCTCTGAAATAAACAGGAAGTTGTCAAATAATGTTTTGTTTCAAAGTGATATCAGAATTAATCCATAAAATATTGCTATCAATAAAATATAGTGACCTCTCATTCAATGCTAACAAAGGAAGAAAATTCTTATTTTATATGTTCATTGATAAATAGCATCAAACTATATTGGTCTTAAGTAATTGACATATGCTGTTCTCAATGAAGATACATTAGCAACATTTTCAAAATATTAAAAGGAAACAATGAGATAAGATGGAATGAAATTATTTAAAAATTAGAAAGAAATAGATTAGTACATGTATTATTGAATGTTTTTATTTTTTATAAGGACAGATATAATCAAATAGAAATTGATAAACTGTTGATACTTACAACTGACAAAGGAAGAGAACTAATGGCTAATCCTTCCAAGAGTGCTTCACATTTTAATCTCTGGGCTTCTCGATATCTCTCAGTCTAACAAAACATTAAGAAATATCTTTAAGTACATTGATAATCAGTAGCTAAAGCGATAAAATAAAAAAGTATCTAAATATCTTTTATATCAAATATAATGCAGTCTTGCCTTGTAATGGGATGATGTAAAAGGGAGAATTTTTAAGCAGAATTGATGGTGATGGGGTAAAAGATTTTAGATTATTGATGAATAAAGTTATAGTACATATAAACCCTACGCTACAAATAAAAAAAAAACATAAAGAATCATAAGGATAGATTGTTTGTAAACAAAATGTTGACAGATTTGGTTCCAGGATTTTTAAACTAAGTCAAAAATTAAAGCGATAATCTTTTGTAGGTTTTTATTGCTTTTTGACTGTTCAAAAAGGTAAGCAACGTTAAACAAGATTATAAAAATATTTTACAATTTGATAGTGTCAAACAATCGTTAACCCTTTTATCCTACCCCATGTGCATTTTTACATAAGCTCGCATGTAAAAAATGATGTGCTTAAAAATGAAAATTATTCTCATAAATAACTATTCCTACGTTCAGACTTTTTCACAGAACTGTATATATACACATGAATTAATTAGCTTGCTATATTTAAGAAGTATATATTGAGAATCTATTACTCAAGTTAAGGTTATAACTTTAAACTGTAAAAAATAAAGGAACAGAAAATTTTCATGGAATAGGTTTAAGTGCAAGTTAAATTTTTTAAAAATCTTACTAAAATTGTTTTATCTAGTTGTCTTTTGACCATATTGAAGAACTCCTCTGAACTTGATTCTTCATTTCTTCTATGTCCTCCTTTTCTTCTAAAGAAGTTCCTCTTTGGTTTATTAGTAGCCATAGATATCAGCAAGAATAAAGAGTCAAATAACTAACAATAAGTATCTGAAAAGTAAAACAGAAATAATTCTATATTTGTTGCTCCAGGTTTTATTTATGTTGTTATAAAAAATTCTGACTAAATCTGTAAACCATTTGGTGACAATGTAAAATAACGTACCTATGTGGTATAAAACTTACCTTTAACTTTATTTCAGTCCCATTAATTATTATTTATAATAAAGCCTCAAAGGCAATGTATATATAAATAATTTAGGAATATATTAAAAATACAAAATATTGTTAGAATTTTGGTACTACTTCACAAGTTTCAACTTGATGCCATCATGTGATCTTGTGTCCACCACTCATAATGAAATTACACTAACTAGTGAAGTAGGACCGGATAAAAATTACTAATATCGTGACAGTAAGGTTAAGTATTTTTGTAATTTTAGAAAATAGCATGGTCAAAGTACTGCCGTTACTTATGTCAGACTCTCTCCCAATCAGTGATCGAATCAGAGAATTAAATTTTTGGCCAAACTAAAATTTAATAGTGATTATTAACCATAATTTTAAATAAAAGTTAAAACTTTTTGTTAATTTAACTAATATTTTCTTAAAATAAAATTCAAGCATCTTTAGCTATTATTTATGCTTTGTACAATTACTGTATTCCAACATCCAGAATTTTCTCTAATCATAGTCTTCAATGGAAACATTCCTTTTTTTGCAATTTCCTCTTTTACATCTTCTTTGGCCGTCTTTTCTTTCTCCTACTTTGGCTTGTGTAGAAAAACTTTATTGGCCATCTGTTGGCCCCATGCATATCACATGCTCAAACTTTTGAAGCTTTCTGATTTCAATATTATATAAAATATTTTTTTCATGCACATAATTTTTTCTAATTAGATATAGCTTGAGCCTTGAGATGCTAGTTTCTTAGATGATCCATCTCTAAAGCTAAAAGTTTTTGAGTATACTGTAGTTTTCTTGTCCAGGCTTTGGCACTATATAGGACTTTTTAAAATAGTAATGAGTGGCTACATAATTTTTCTTTTGTTTCAAGGACACATTCTTGTTCCATAGGAGAGAGTTAAGGATCCAAATAATCCTTCTTCCTCTATGGTATTTTATAGATGAAATGTCTTTATTGAGTATTCCTTTTTTATATATCTACACTCCTAAATACTGAAATTTTATGCTCTGAGCAAGATTCCAATTTTCCATTGTCAGGGATGTGCTTGATCATTATTTGTTTTATTATTACTTTTTAGTAAACAAAAAAAAAACTAATCACCTTCACAGAAATTTTTAAAGGCCATAAATAACTTTAATTGCTATCTTAAAATCTCAACCTTCTATTGCCAGCCTGTTTGATCCAATAACATTCACAAACAAGACCCTTCCTCCCCTCCAGATTTTAATTCAATATGGCATGGCAAGTCCTTCACAATCCCTCTCTTGTAAAGAATTAATGAAGGAAAAGTAAATTTTATTCTGACACTTAATCCCCTTTGAATAATACAAATGTACAATTCCAAAGACATTATTCTGGCTACAGATAATCATTACGAAATAAAATTATAAATTAAATTTACATATCAGTGTATAAAAGTTTACATATGAATGTGAATATACATAGCTAACTGTCCTTGTTTAGACCAGGGGTCTCCACACTTTTTGGCCCACGGATCACATTGAGAACTCCGATAAGTCCCACGAGCCAAGGCTTGAGATGAAAAAATAAAAGAGCTTGCTCAATAAATGATACTTCAATTGTGAAATGAGCTTCTTAAAAGAAACAACTCATGCAATAAATGCTGTAGTAACCAAGTTTTCGAGTGCTTTACAAAATTTAATATTTTTAAAATGTTACCCTTTCGTGGCCATAGTTTGTAGGACCCTGGTTTAGACGAATAAATCATGAAAATGATAATAATGAAACAGAAATAAAATAAAAAATAAAAATGAATATATGAAAAAGTAAAAAAATATATTCTTTTAAATATATGGAAGATTGATGGTTGGGAAGATAGATAAATAATTGTTGTTTAAATAAGGTTGAATATGGTGTTTCATAATTTTCGAAATGCACAAGTTTGTGGGTTGTGATCTTATGTTTAAAAAAATGGACAAAATAACATGAGGTGAACAAAGTGATGATGTAAGAAGCTCTAGTGGCCAACCATACAAAAGCGTTGTCTGGATTAAGACTCATTTCTCTTGGTGCCGGTTCGAATCTGGCCTTAGCAGGTTGAAATTTATCTTGTGGAGGATCCATGGAATTAATCTTGACCTTCTTATTCATGTCAGAAATTATGATGTAGGGTTTAAATAAATAAAATAAAAACGGATCAAGGATGTAAGAAGGCTTTTAGGTTCTAAAGGATCAGAAAAGATCAACATCTAGGAAATATTGCTGTAAAAATAGAATAAAGCAAGTTCAATTCTGAAATTCAACTCTTTGCAAATCCCCTTCATAAGCAGTCTTCCCAGTTTCAAACTAACATTTTTTATCTTTCCCCTCCAATATTTCTAATACTTATAGATGTTACTCCATCCTTTCCTTTCCATTCAATTATTGAAAATATTACTCTCTGAAATTCTATCAGTTTTTTTTTTTAATCTATATTTCTTTCCCATTCCAAATTCAGAATTTCCCACATCTCAGAAATAAGCATTAATCCAAACTATTAATGAAAACCTCAATCCTACATCTCTTAAAGATTATTGTACAATCTTCAGTACCATCATCCAGGTCAGACAAATGTAGTTTTTAGCCAGTTATGTTTTACATTAATTTGTTCATTTTTTTACCTTTAAGAGAGCTAGTTTCAGAATTACATCTGTTTTCTGTTCTATTTATATTTAAGCAATATTTTTTGTACTTAAAAATAAAATTTGAAATGCTTTTTTTTGTTTCAAATTAGATCAAGCAAACTGAAAGTGGGTTAGTGTTATTCAGCATGAAAATATCTATGAAAACTCGATCACTGATAATTTTATTTGTTTAATTTAAATATATGTATTTAATTAATTGTGAAAATCAGAAGTGTTAAGTCAAGTAAATTAAAATTTGACTAATCAATATTTGTTTTAGTTATCGTATTTCATAAAATTGTCTTTGACAAACTTATTCTAATTCTAAATCATAATATTATCGAGCAATTTTATTTTTCACACCCCATTTCTGCATGTTCAGAAGCTCTTGATAAATTGAGACTAAGATAAATAAACATTTATATAAATAGAAGTAAACAACTTGTTTTAAAATAGAATAGTTTACTTAACAGAATTATGTTTTGTTTGGCAGTAGCTTATTTTTTTTTTCCAGCATATATAAATTATAAAGTTGTTAAATAGATAATTTTTTTTATAGTTATTTTTTATACTAAATAAACTGAAATCTCTCTCAAATCCCTAATTCAAAATTTAAATAAAATACAATGTTTTAAGAGAAAAAAATTATCTTTAAATAATAAGAATTACAATTAAATTTTATTTCTCAAAAATAATTATTTTTAATCTATTATCATATAAATAGTAAATCGATCTATCAACAAGCTGGATTCGGAAGAGGAAAGACCAGATCTTCATCCTAAAACAAGTACTTGAAAAATTATAGTAAGTAGCTCAAGATGTGCACACCTTATTTTCAATTTCAAAGCAGCCTTTCTGTGGACAAGAACAGTCTTTACAAAATTATGGCTGAACTCAGAGTTCCCAAGAAGTTGGTAAGATTGAAGAGGGTTTGTAAAAATAACCCTAAATGTTGAGTTCTAATACAAGGAGAACAATCCGAGTCCTTCAAAGTTCAAACTGGCTTACAGAAGAGAGATGAACTCTCACCGATCTTGTTTAACTTGGTACTGAGAACATCATGTGAAAATGGAAGGTTGCATGTTAGAATGAATTATACAATTTTTGGATATGCAGATGATATAGCTGTCCTTGGAAGCAACCAAGAGGCGTTGAGAAACTTACTAAGATTCTGATAAGAGAAGTGGAGCAAATTAGGCTACAAGTAAATGAAGGTAAAACAAAATTTATGACACTAAGCCGAAGATTCCACTCCAATAACAGGGTTTGAGGTCCACCCCAATGTAGACAAATTCAAATACCAAGGTTCCACAAAAACCTAAATGAATGAATGACCGACTGTTGGAAACTGAACTTTCTTCTCCCTTTCAAAGTTATTGAAATCCTTAAAAGCCAGTTCTGATATATGGCTGTGAAACCTGGAGATTAATCAGAACTCTAGATAGAAGTATTGAAAGACAAGAGAAAAATTCCCTGCACGATAACCAGAGCAATCTGGGATCAGAGTTATAACACATGGAGGAGAAAGACCAATAAAGTACGGTTAACAGAAAAGAATCAACTACTATATTATGAAGGCAAGGAGGTTAGGATGGGAGGTGCATGTAACCTGGAGAAATCTGTCAGGAAGGCTCTACACAACAATGGATGCCTAAATAAAAGGCAAGGGACCATGTGGAAAACAAAAAACCAGATGGATGATCAAATCACAAAGATGCAATGGAACTGCATGCAGATAACTGGAAAGATATAGTCCTTAGACAAGCAGAGAGGGAGAAGGCTGGTTAAAGTGGAAAAAGATATACAAAATATGTAAATGCCAACAGGAAAAAAAAGCAAATAAATCAGTTACTCTAGATAAAAATAAAAAAACAATATTTAAATTATAACAGTAAAAATCTAATCACAACTTGATTTTTTTCTCCAAAGAAAAATAATTCTCAAATCCAAATCTTGATAATAGTGAATCCAAGAGTTATTTTTAAAGTTTATGTCCACCAATTTTATGCTAAATTAAGTAGTGTCCTCAGAGAGACCCAGTATACCCAAAAAACTACTTAACTAATTAAAATTATATTGTAATTCAGGAAAATAAACACTGAAATGAATATATCCAATATTTAATAAAATTCTATCACAAAACTGAATACAGTATATTTGATTACTTTAATGTAGGACAGTCTCATAAAAAAAAAGATTGATTCGGTAGGAGGAATAAAAAACTAAATAGAATTAAATACATTAACTAATGACTGACAGACTATAACAAAATGTATAAAGAAATTAAATTTTTCTTCAAAGAAAAATCAATTTTAAATTCAAATCAATATGAAATATCTATATTATTTATTGACATTGTCACAAATAGTATTTTAAAATAATTTTACATTTAAAAATTAAATAAAAGGATAATGACATTCCTTACTAAAAAGCAATAAAGTAATACTTCAAATTTAAAAACAAACCATTGAAAATCTACCTGTGGATATTTATTCCATAAAGAAACTTGGAATACAATAGTTCCGCAACGGTTCAATTCTGCGCGGGAACTACGATGGTACTGAACAGACGTAGCGATAAGTATATTTTATTAATACCAAAGAGATCAAAGAGATAAAAAAAAAACTATTAACATGGGTAAGAACTAATTCGTATATTAAAGTAAAACTAATTAAAGTAACGTGCGCATTTAAAACTAATTAAGAAAGGATTAATGATTTTTATTTTTTTTTTAACTAGTAATTTAGTAACGTATTTCCGTAAATGTAAGGGGTAGTGCTTAGAAAGAAATATAATTACATAAGATTATCTATTGTTACACAAAAATTACACTTTAAAACAAAAACAGCCATCGAAATAAAAATAAATGAACAAATTTTAAAAGACAGATAGTTAAGACTAGTGATACTTCGAACTAAGATATATAATTATCATCTTACAGGAACCTTGGGCCGAAACGTCGGCAAAAATAATAATAAACATCATTTATTTATTTTTACTTTGTATTTTGACTGAACACCCCAACCTACTTCTTTAACAAAAAACAAAATATACTGTTAGAATTACGTTCTTTGGTCTCATTTGGATTTAGTTACAATTTGGCTCTTTTGGAAGGTAAATTTTAGGAAATAACAAGCTGACGATTTTTCCCTCTATTCATGTTATTTTAGTGAAATGTTAAATTACTTTTTTTTTGTACTTGAAGGAAACTTTGTTCGTGACAGGTTTCAAATTGAAACGAATTGTTTCTATTTATGATTAAATAACTGGATAAATAATAGAGAGAAAAAAAGATATGAAACAAGGGCTGAAAATAAGATGTGAAACAAGTATCACCAATGTGATACTAATAGTATTTCGTTTTTTGAAGTGAAAAATTCTTTAGGTACGTTTTGAAATTTTTTTGTGGAATAAATTAGATTGAGCCTTCAGATCTACGATGTATAAACGCTCGGGTAAAGTCGGCTGGAGTCGACTAATTGAAGTGTTTTTGCATATGGATTAAAATATCTCAGAAATTAAAAATCGAACCTGCATACTGTAAGTGAGGGAAATGTTTCATCATTTCATTTTCTTTGTAATGAGCTATTGTTCAAAATTTTATCTTAACGCGTCGCCATGTTAGAAAGGCGAAAAGGAAAAAAATAGTGTCGAAAACCAAATGATTACGAGTTTAATTGAAAATATTAATAAAAATATCTTAGAAACTAAAAATTGGACCTGCATACTGCAAGCGAGAGTAATGTTCAGTATTTCATACTCTTTATCATGAGTTATTATTTATAACTGGTAGGCCCGTGCGAAAAATTCGCACAGCATATTGTTATCAAATGCCAAATTAATAAGAAAATGCAACTTATCAAAAGATTAAGACATCAAATGTTACTTTATCGATAAATATAATCCACTAAGCAAACAAAAATTAATTTAAATCTTTATTTTTGTTTGGAACCAACATGTATACAAATTTCAGTTAGCTGTATATTTACTAAAAATTGTCCGATTGCGATGATTTTTTTTTCCTTTTGTAGGGAATTTAGTAATCTTTTATATAATTACGGGCATAACCAAGGGAAAAGTGTGTAATTTTTCAGTTATTCGCAAATAAAGTTTATTTTCTTTGATAACTTGTTTGCCTGAATTTTCTGGGTGATTGGACTATTTTGCCAGCCTGAAGGGGAAGGAAGCCTTCGAAATTGGTGGCTCAATCTTGAGATTTGGTGAAAAATTAACGATGATATGGCTTGCCGATCAAAAGCACCATCGATGAATAATATAAACTCCCCCTCTCTCGATCAAAGAGACCTCAAGTCGACGAAATGAGACATGTATTCAATGACAGTACTACAATTAATGTAAGGTTGTGTGGATGCGAACCCTATGCCTTGCGTTATCACGAAAATAGTACGTTTTTCGGCTTAAAAACGCAGGATTCGATAGTTCCGAGGGAACTATCCGGGTCTTGCTGTACGCATCAAAATCTTTAAGATCCAATTTGTCCCGTATCGATCTACAGACCTACCACCGTTCCAGTATCGAAGCCTAGCAAAATGTTTGTATCGACTTTATTTATTTTAGAAAGAAAAACAAAAGTGGAGAATACGATTCGCTAACCCCCCGTGAAATTCTGAATCCAACGGTACCCCATTCGTGATAGTTGAGCATGACAGGAGCTTATATTTGGTACAAAACCGATTTGGAGCCTTACTGTAATAATATATGTACGGATTGATATTATTAATCTCGCTTTGCTGATGTTTTCTCTTCTATCCTGTTGTCCAAAGCACACACCTTAGTTTTTTTTATTATTATTGTTATTTTCCCTTTTCTTTTCCTGTAGGCTATACCCGCTTTTTAGATATTTTGCCGCCTTGACCACCCTTCTCCATCTTTACCTATCTTGAGCTATTTATTTATTGTTATTTTTTCTTTTCTCAACTTTTCGACTGTACGGTTTTTTTTTCGGGAGACGGGAAGGGGGATAATACCAGTGTTAAAAGTCTCCCAGGGACCGGGATTTGAACTGGTAATCTTTGGTTTATTAGATTGGCGGGTAACGTGTATGTTACACACACGTTAGTCCGCTCGTCCGTCCTCGGCTTATTTATAACTTGAGGAAGCCAATAAACCTATAATGTTAACATTCACTTGAGTTGCCTTTTTTGTTAATCGGTATAATATCACACTCCCATACTTTTTATGTAAGCAGAACTTAAATATACTAAAAAATTTGTAGTCTTTTATAATAGACTGGGGCCTAGAAAATTTATACGGGCAGAAGACCATCTTCGTCTGGTTCTTTGCCTATTCTCGTCTTTTCTGAGGGTCATGACATCTTTCTTCCAGATCACTTCATCGTATTCTTCCTGCTTCTGTTCTTTGGCTTTCTTCTACACTCTTTTTACCGCCGCCAGATAACATGTCAGCACGGTGGCAACATCATTACTCTAATGATCCCTCATCGCTTGTAATTATCTTATTCCACTCTTAACATTTCTAGTTGCTTTGCTCATCTTTTATGTTGCTTTCTTTTATTGTTTTTATTCTATTTCATACTTTAGAATTTCCCCAAAACCATTTTACAGGCTTTTACCAAACTCCTTCCAGTTTTCGATGTGTTCCTATACTATCAGTATAAAGATACATTTTACTACTAGTGCCTGATGTAATGTAACACGACTAACTCAATCGGACTTGTTTTTTTTTTAACGTTTCGTATTTTCGACAGGTCTTCGAAGCGTAGGGGTTAATGATTTGTTAGATGTAGGTGTGCTAATCTTCTTCTCCGGTTGGTGTGCGTTACTAAATGTTTGTTGCTGTCGTTGGTCTCGAAAGTCTTGTAGAAGTGAAAACTGATAGCAAAGCAGTTGGCTGATCCACGAATATGTTTTTCTTTGTTATTGCACCTGCTTCTGTCAATATAGTTGATTTTCGCTTATTTATGTAGCCATGATTCTATTCCGCAAGGTAATGTATTTTACTTTGTTGTTGAACTACAGTTCCAAATTTCCACAATAGAGTTCAAAATAATTTCCTGCTTGAATTCGATCATCAAATAGTCCTGGTCGAACCTACGGGGACCAGGTGGATCTACGGTCGGGGGGGGGGGGGGGGGGGGAGGGAGGAGGCTTTTGGGCTGAAGCCCTCCCCCAAAACGGTAAAATATAATCATGTTTTATAGAAAAAAAATATTAAAAACTACCTCTTAAAGTATTATTAAAGGAAGGCACTAGTAGTAGGAAGCACTAAAGTATATAAAAAGGCACTAGTAATGAGATTAGAAATTTTTTTTATATATACAGTAAATTTTGAGAGAATTAGGCTAGGTGGTGTTATACGTGTAAAATATGATATATTAGATAAACAAATTAATAGACATAAATAAATTCCACTAAGCTTCCAATGCTCAAGGTCCCAGATTCGAATCCCGACTCATGGCAGAAAAATTATTTATTCTGTTTCATTGGCCGTCTATATATAAAGTGAGTATCCTTAATTAAATAATTGATTAAGGGGAAAAACCTGGTGGTTGAGCATGATCCTGGCCCGATCCTCTCCCTTCACAGCCACTGGCCTTGAAACAGTTCTTTCCCAAAATAGTACTGAACCCAAGACCCTTTATGGGTTCTAGTGATAGTTTTAAAAAAAAAAAAATTTAATATAAATTCAGAGAATAGCTTCTCGAAGATTGATGTTTTCTTGACTATTTCTTCAATTTATTATAAATAAAATAATGAATAATAAGAACATGTATTTTAGGGATAAGTGACTATGACAACATGATAGATTTAAACTACTTATTTGACAGAAAAAACTAGCGATATAAAAAACTAACTGCTTTCATTTGAGATTTGGTTCTACTATGTATAAAAGCAAATAAACCACGAATAAAAAAATTAATATTTATTCATTTATAAATAACACAATATTCTGCCATTTACAAAGGTTTAACAGAGAAATTGTAATAATTTACAAAAATATGATATTAAAATACATAATTTTTATCATTTATGACAGATAATATAATCACTATTTAAATAGAATAGTAATTCAACCATTTATCACATAAACTAAAGCAAAATATAAACAAAACTTCCATAAATGGACTTCTGCAAATGCAAATTTAATGCTTTTGTATTCACAGCCTATCTCAGCTATTTATTATAAAAAAAATGTATTTATTTATATTACATATATAAATTTTATAACAAAAGTTCATTTTAATTCTACAATAAAAAAAAAAAAAAGTACATTATCATTTAATTCTGATAACTAATTTTTTTGCAAACATCTAGCGGCAGCTAACTATGTCAAAAAGATAAATGCTCTTTGTAAAACCTTGCTTCAACAAGTTGAAACGAATGTGCAATGACTAATAATTACTGCTTAACATCAGCATCTATTAAGTAAATTCAGAAAGTCTTGCTAATATATACATAAGAATATGCTAACATAAATTTTGAAGCACTTGTGAAAAAATGGCACAGAAAATAAATAAACTTTATTATTTAATATATTTTTTACATAATGGAGCGTATCCATTTTGATACAGTTAGAGGGAAGGGGTACCTAGACCATTCAGGATCAGGAGCTGATTTATTTTTGACATTAAAACAATAAATAAAGGTCATTTTATAAACACAATAATGTCCTCTCTTGATAAAAAAAAAAAAAAAAATTGAATGTAATATTTTGCAATAAAGTAAACAATAAAAAAACCCTGTTGTGTGACCTGGAACGGACCACCACCTCTGTCCTACATCCCCTTTGGTATACACACTACTGGATGAACTTGTATCAATATGAAGTAAAATTATTTTATATGAAACTTTTGGTAATATTTTGTAATTTAGAAAAGCACTTATTCTTACTTTCGTTGTGTATTTTAAGAGAGATATTAAATTAGGATTTAATTTAAACCATTCATGAATATTAAAGTTTTGGAATTTACTATACATACAATAAATAATTAATAGGTTGATAATGATACTATGATATCATGTTCTGATTTTATATTTTTGACTTAGGTATTGTATGTTTGTTATTTTTTTTTTTTTTTTAAATTTATATTATATTGTTACTTCAAGTTTATAATAAAAACTTCGAAACATTAATAAAATAAATCAGGGGATGTATGGATAGAGTTTAAAAATTCAAAATAACAATACAATAATAAAATAAGAAATTGAAGGTTTTATTAACTTAAGTCTATCTAAAGTATTAGCACTAAAGATTGTAAAAGTTAATAACACTTACAGATAACAATATGGGGATAATGCATCATTAGTTTCTATTAAACTGACAATAATTCCAATATCGATGTGTGTCCTTCTTCCCTGGCCACATCGGCAGGGGTCTTACCATGGTTGTTGTATATTTTTGAATCTGCACCATTTTCTAAGAGGATTTTTACAATTTCTTGCTTGTCCCATTGGGCTGCCATATGCAGAGGAGCCCATCCATCAATGTTCCTTCCATTGATATCTGAGCCGTGTTCCAAAAGCCATCTGCAAGCACCTTCATGTCCATTTATTATTGCCTCATGAAGTGGAGAGCATCCATCATTTCTGGTTAGTGATAAGTCTGCTTGATTTTGTGCTAAAACCTGAAGTATAGGTACACTGCCTATTGAAGCCGCACAATGAGAAGGGGTAGAACCAAATGAATCTTTTTCATTGATCTTAGCCCCTAACATCAACAAGCATTCTACAACGTATGGGTTTCCATCCCTAACAGCTCTATGCAATGGGGTTATTCCTTCTGTATCAGAATAACAGACCAAACTCAACAGCTCCTCCTCATTAAAATCTTCTGGGACCTTTAAATATTCTCTCACAGTATACATATATAATTCACTTGAAGATGCTTGCTAAAAAAAAAAAATAAAAAAAAAAAAAAATAATGAAATAATGTGTGAAAACAAAATATGCTAAAATGATTATTATTGACTCAAACAGTTTTATGAACTAAAAATAAAAGGCTAAAAACCTTCATTTGTAAGTAAGAAGATATATAGTTTCCACCCTTAAATATAGAATATTGATTTTTAAATATATATAAACTCATAAAAACCTATTGGGGCGAGTAAGCATTAATTAGTGAATTCATTCAAACTACAAAATCAATTCAACTGTCAGAATATGGGTTACTAATTAATAAGCCCTACAGCATGAAGCACTAATGCTGTAAAGTTCTAGTAGAGTTGCCGGATTCTCAATCTTGAGTTATTTTTAAGAAACAATATACGGAGTTGAGCTATGGGGCTCCACTAAACCATCGAATTCCTCTAGCATCCAATCCTTACAATCCAAAATCCTTCGTAAAATCGTCAATGCTCCTTACTTTGTCACTAATAAAATTATCCATAAAGATTTTAATGTTCCTTATGTTTCAGATCTGGCCCAATACAGATATCTATCCTTCCATAATAAACTTCAGAATCATCCCAACCCTTTCGTTTCTAACCTTGCTTCCTCTTCAATTCCTGATAACCCTCCGAGGCGTCTGTAAAGAAGATGGCCTCGTGATCTCCTAATGTAGTCATATCATTAGAGTGCTACCATTGGGTAGTTACTCAGCAAGAGTATTCATGTCATTATATCTATTATGTTCAAATTTACTAGATGTGTTTATGTAATACAGATGTAAATGTCATTAAGAAAAAAAAAAAAAAAAGAAAAGAAAAAAAAAGAAACAATATGGTTAGCATTATGCTCTGTCCTTCACATCTATACTAGATTTAAATTGAGTTCAGTCAAGATTCGAAACCACTGAAGTCTATAAAATATTAAATTAGTCTATAAAATATCTCCCATAAAATATATATAAAAAAGATTTTATTAGTGATTAAATAAAAAAAGTAATTGTGATGATTTTAATATATATTTACATTAGAAGTAGTAGAACTAATAGAATTTGAAGTTATTGCCGATGCTGGTAGTTGGGTTGGTGCCGTAGTTTCAACCCAAACTTCCTGAAGCTGTAACCGTAAATATAACAATACCACATAAATAACATTATATTGTATCAGATATCTAAAGAAGATTAAATAATGCTATAAATATATAACCGTTGGAGAAGGATTTTCTGTTCTTTCTACAAAAGATACTTCATCATCCATAAAATTGGTGAGCACATTTTGAGCCTAAAAAAATAAAAAAATTAGTTAGTCAGACTTTTAGAAAAATATGATTTAATTATTTACTACGATTATATTTATCAAATATTAATTTCAATGATTGTAACAATTAAATATACATATCCATACCCATATTAAAGGTTAAAGATTCATGTCATAGGGTCATCAAATAAATTTCAAACCTCCCAGGCCAGCTTCAAACTGACACCACTAGACCCAAGAATGTTAAAGTGGCCAATACTTTAACAGACTCGGCCAACACGGCCTCCAAAGAAAGAAATAAAACCACCTCATTCTTTTAATGTTGAAAAAAAAAAAATTATGATTACATTCATATTATGAAGACTTGGTGGTTTTGTAGGTCCCTCTACAAAACTTTTACGTTTCACCGCTGCTTCCTTAAAAAATTTTTGAACAGAATGATTGGGCAACAACTGGGGAACCTAGAGACAAGCCAAAATATAGTAAGAACAAAAATTAATAAATATATCAGGGAATCATTAATACATACGTTTAAATTACAAGGATTTTCCATTGTCTTGAAGCTGTTGCCTTCAGGCAAGATATTAATACTGTTGATTTTAGGATTAATATTAATACTGTTGCTTCTGTTCATTTCTACTGACTGTAAATTATTAACTTGCTTTAATTAAATTATTATTGAATAATCTGATAACTTAATACTAGGTTAATAAATTAAAGAACATTAAACATATTAGATCAGAGATCTCCAAACTATAACCCACAAGTGCCTACAATCCGGATCACTTAAATTTTTTGATTACTTGGTAAAATTTTAAAAGCTGTTTAAAAAATATGAGATTACTACAACATGCATAGCATGACTTGTTTCTCTCAGAAACCGAATTTCACAAACAAGGGTCATTTATAGAATAAGTTTTTTATTTTCATCACAAACCATACCCCTGAGTTTGGAGATCCCTGCATTAGATGATAAAACAAAATTTTAAAAATGACTCAATTCCTCAGCTACCTGTGATTTCATTATTTTTTTAAACTGGGTTTTGATAACTGTAACTATTGGTTTTTAATTTTCTAACAAAAAAAATTGATTATTACCAGGCTGTAAGGCTCAACATTTCTTTTGAATAATATGGGCTTTTCCCCTCATCCTTTTGAGGCTTCCCTATATGGCAACATAAATGCCCCTTCCTTCTCCCATTAGAACATTTAAACATATTAAAATTCATTAAAGTTTTCTTAATTTTAATTTTTTAGTTTTATTGGACAAATTAATATTTACCTTCTTGAATTCTTTTTTTTTTTATAATTCATAGTTCTAATTATCTTTAACTACATGGCTTAATAAAAACTTGTGTTACCTTTACATCTTTATTTGAATTACACTTACTCTCAATTACAATTACTTTTTGAAACTAAAATCCAAGTAAAAAAAAGTATTAATAAAGTATAAACTTTATGTCTTTGATAAAAAATGTTTGATAGCCTGGAATAGTGCTATATTGATCAATACTTCCTGTCAAAAAAATAAATAAATCTAATTTAATGATTTAATTTTTATTTTATTTAGAGAAATAAGACTAACTATAGATGAGACATTAGGGATTAAGTATATCATTTTTATTCACAATTAAAGAACAAACAAAGGATGAACTGTTTTTCTTGATTAATTTCCTTTCCACCTTCAGTTCGTTTTATCTTTTGTTTGCACTTATGTCAAATTTCATCTTTTATTTATATTCTGTTTTATCAGGGTAATAATGAATTACTTAAGCCATGATGATTCAGTAAGAATGTTTACTCTCCACTGAGAAGGAAAATCTTGGCATTATATCACTGCCTTGGTGTTCATTAGTTTTAAGTTTTAAGGGTCATAAAAAGGTATAGAGAGAGTGGAAGTCATTCAGCATGACTAAATTTAGGATTTCTATAGTCACAAATTTCAATGACTGGAACTAGAATTTTGGCAGAGAGCAAGCTTGATTTTGCACTCCTTTCTTTCACCCTCTCCACTCCACTTTTAAAGTCAAGAGGTAGGTAATATATTACAAAATAAATAACATCTTTTCATAACATTAATTCATTTTATTGACTGAATCAAGGTCAAAACAATCAAAAAGCAGATGCAAGTATTTTTTTAATCTTAATAAAGAAAATTTTGCTACCGCATAAAATATGCTACTTGGGATAAGTGGCCCTCCGATCTCCCAAGATCTGGCACTGCTAAGTTCTATAAAAATTCTATAACTTTATAATAAAGTTCTATAATTTAATAGCTGGTATTCAGAGGATATCAATTTCTGATTCCAGAGAGTCCGACGTTAGCTAAAGAAGATATGCAAAAGGATCCCTTCATAATACAGAAAACAACTAAGATTTGGAAGGATGCCGATCTTGGACTGAGAAAGAATGGAAAAATGATGAGAAGAGAATAGTCTTTAACAATCCAGATGACCACGAAAAAGTCTGGAGAATAATGTTAGTATTGAATCATTATATAGCATGATAATACCTAACCACATTTGGCATCGTGTGTTTCTGATTACCTGAGCACATCAAATATCTATAACTAATGGTGCTATGTGTGGTGTAGCATGTTAGCGGCCCCATTGCCCAGTCATTGCATCGCAGATAGCCACTGGCCCTCCAGATTGGGGGAACAGTATACTGACAGGCACACATTTACACGGTTAATAAAAACAGCACACTACACCTACCTCAACATTACAGACCAAGCTCCATATTATTGAACTCACCCAAGAATCACCTTCCCTAGGTAGCCGGGCAGATAGAGGAGGATTTGTATCATGGAGTGAGTCATATGGACGATGAATGTGTCAGGATGCTACGAGGAGACTGCCCCTCCACCTGACTCGGGGCCAGCTGGTTGATAATCAGTTCTTCTTAAGCCATCTTATAAGGAAACCTCAAGATTTAGAAGCCGGGCTGTCTACAAGGAAACGACATAGCACCTGTCATTTGCACTGTATAGATCCGGAGTAACTAAACTGCTCTTAGATGAAATAGACCGCTACAGAATTGACATTACTGCACTTCAAGCAATCCGATGGACTGAACATGGATCTATCGAAAAGAGAAGTCACACTATATACAACAGTTGTGACAATAAATCACACCACTTTGGAACTAGATTTGTTGTAGGGAAGAAACTCAGGCAACTCATCATTGATTTCAAGTCTGTAAGCCCTTGAATGAGCTCTTTCAGGATAAAAGGGAAATTCTTTAATTCAACAATTATTACCACATGTTGAAAGAGTTCTGGGAAAACATCAGTGCGGCTTTAGTAAATGTAAGTCTACAACACATCAGATTTTCGTCCTAAGAACCATCCTTGAGCACCGAAGAGAATACTAGATACAGACGCACCATCTATTTGTTGACTTTAGATCTGCTTATGACAGCATTCAACATGAGGCTCTATATCAGGCGATGAAAGACCTCAAAGTACTGGTTAAGCTCATACGGCTTGTAAACTTACAATGAGCAATACCAAGTTTATGGTTCAGATTCAGGGAGATCTGTCTGAGGGATTCATCTCTCATTATGGCGTTCAACAGAGAGATTTTCTAGTCTGTCTGCTCTTGGTCTGGAAAAAGCTGTCAGAGAATCAAAGATTCAGACCAGGGAAACCATCTTTAATCATATGATATAAATTCTGGGATATGCTGATGATACTGACATTATTGGGAGATCAAAAGCTGTAGTGGAAGAAGCCTTTCTGCTCTTGACTATGCTGCCAGGAAGCTAGGACTTGTTAATACTAACAAAACTACTGCTAGTTAACAAAGAGGTATTAACAGAAGCTTTGTCCAAAATGGTAACTACTCTTTTGAACGAATTGAGGAGTTTGTGTACTTCAGATCTGAGATCAATACCACAAATGATGTTTTGGCAGAGATAGGAGGTGAATAGAATTGGATAAAAGGTGTTATTTTGGACTGTGTAAGAACTTAGGGAGTAGCTCATTATCAAGATCTACAAAAATAAGATTATATATAAAATAAGACACTGATTCATCCAGTACTAACCTATGACTCAGAAACCTGGGCTTTTTCAAAGTCCGATGAAAGGGATGTCCAAACATTTGAGGGAAAGATACTCAGACCCATCTATGGCCCAGTAAAAGGTGTTCAGTTTGGAGAAGACGGATGAACAGAGAATTGTATTCGTTGATTGGTGAGCCTGATGTAGGAAAAATTGTAAGAATTGGTAGGGAGAGCTGGGCAGGCCATATAGCTAGGGTGGGAATTGATGAGATCCCAAATAAACTAATTAATGAGCACCTACATGGAACACGACCGAGAGGCCATCCAAAGCTTCGATGGTTGGATGGGTGTTGAAGAGGATTCAAGGAGATGGAATTGGCTCGGAGTATGGAATTGGAGAGCAGCTGCACTGAATTGATTAAATTGGCGGAAGATGTTTGATGAGGCCAGGAATCAGTAATGGCTAGTTGCACAGATTTAAGAAGAAGAATGGTGCTGTGCAAGATGTTTAGATCTTAATGGAACCGTGCATGTGCAGGAAAAACTTAAAAGGAAAGATCAGTGATTTTTAATGAGCAATTGAAAAACTTAAGATGATTGTATAAGTGGAGTGAGGCTCTATTTATTTTAATCTCAGGATAAATACAGAACCTATTATTATATTTACATCCTGAGAATTTCAACATTATAAATTCATAATAAAAATAAGACAATAAATACAAACAAATATTTTACTTCCGATGAAAAAGATGAGGCCATTGTAGTTGATTGATTGTTACCAGAGTGTTCCTGAAGGTTGAACTCTAAAAGAAACTTCAACGTTTCTTTATCTTCAGAAGCTCTACAACACTCGATAATTCTGTATTTAGAAGAAAGGCTCACAAACACCTTTAAGATATGGGTCGGTATGATGATTAAACCAGATTGGACAAGCAAAGCAATCTTGGATAACACCCTTAACACCTGATTAAAATACATCATAAATAAATTAAACAAATATTTATATTAAGAAAATATGATAATAATACAAGCTGTTGATTATTAGTGATTAATAAAAGTAATGAAAAAAATGTGTACAGTAGAACTGCTGTTAACAAGATACCTAACTGGTTAATTGAAGGTGTAGGTATTTAAAAGAAAATGTTAACAGAAATGTATAAAAACACTGTTTCATGACGAATATATATGTACTAAAAAATTTCATTATGTATTCGAAAACACAGAAAAAGACAAATTATGTACAATGTAAAAATTAGCAGTAATAGTAAAGTAATTTTTTAAGGTATATTATTTTATTTTATTTTTCAAATTTTTTAAAATACGAAATCTCTCCATTCTATCATTACTAGATTGTCTGTAACATTTGAAGCAGTTCCTTTTTCTGGTATATCATCATATTTTTCTTCACTATGAAGACAGTTAATCTGAAGGAGGGTAAATGTGTGGATGATTAATATGAGTTTTACTGTACAAAAACCTTTTACACATAAAAGTAAACCATATACTACAAAATCAAATAAGAAATCATATTAAAAATTCTTGAATTTATTTTTGCATTATCCAATATCAATAAATAGTAATTATTTATTTAATAACTACCCAATTTAATTTTGGAATGCCCAAAATGATCGTATGTACTGAACATAACATTGTTTTATCTATGAAGTTAACATTAAAATTAATACATCAAGATCCATTGCACTATTTTTTTTTTTAATTTAGCAGAGATTGTGTGAGATGTTACCCATCTAATTTTCATAGTTGTCATATTGAAAAAAATGTTTCCATTTTATTAATTGCTTTTAAGCAATTCAGTTATACAACTTATTACAATACATTTAACCTGAAAAAAAAAAATATTTATTTATGCATATAATTTTTTTTATAAATAACATAATTTTTATGAGTAGAGACTGGAAGGAATCTCAGCTTGTTCTGTGACAAAACCTCAACTTAATTAATATGGACATAAAGCTTATTAAACAAGAAAGTTTTACCAGAATTGAGTTATATGAAGTTCAATTGGAGGCTGATCTTATATTGTAGTTCTTGAGATTTAATAATAGTAATAATAATAATCTTTATTTATTTCAGAATAAATATTATGAACAAAATATGATAACCAAATTGAGGGATTTTGATCCTCAGATGTAAAAAGAAAATAAATATGAAATAAAAATAATTGAAAACAAATTAATAATTTACATACATATTTACAGAAATACTTATATACAATTTTTTGAGAACTGAATGGATATGAAGTGATTAAATAGGAAAGATTTAAAAGTGGGGATTATATTGGAGTAACACAGGTGTTGGAAGGGATTGAGTTCAATAGGGGCAAGGATCTGTGGGCTGCTGTATATTAATCTGAATGACTGGAAACAGGTTTTGCGGATGTGAACAGAGGATTTGAATTAAAGTAGCTTCATAATGTATGAGCAGGGTAATTGATGATTTGGAAGAGAAGGAATACCAGGACATACTTATGATGGTAGAACGGATAAAGCCACTTCAAAACTTCATAAAAACGTGAGACAGAGCCATCCCCTTAAATATTTCTCAACACTTATAGACACGTTGTCTTTCGAAAATGTTCAAGACATACTAACTTCGTACTTTACAATTTGAAATATGATATAATTCATGGGTAGTATTAAATAAATGATAGGACAGACCTGTTGATCCTCAAAGTTAAAATCATCTCTAAGCCAAGTCGGAAGATAAGATGACCTAAGGTGATCAACGGTGGTTGCAAGTTCAAGCAAACTGATGCAAAAGCCTAAATCATTTGTGAGGAGGCTGTGCATCAATGACAACAGGATGCTTTGTGCAGTGTTAAGCTCAGTAGCAGTGACATGAGGATTATATATTGATTTTTTTGAAGCAAACTCTACTGCTGTTGTTATTTTTTTCTTAATTATCTCATGTAGCTTTGTAGATGCTTTTATTGGGCCAGTGTTATATGATATCTCCTCTTTCTTGTTTTTCCCCATTTCTGTGTTAAAAATAAAATACATATATAATACATTTTTTATCATCGATGAACTTATTTACTATTGTATATGCAGGTATAAAATAATAATTGGATGATAAATGCCAAAAAGCAGTCAACCCCCAGATCTCCTAAATGCCAAATTTATGATCTACTGATATTCACAGCAGATTTAACTTTTTATGACATTACAATTCAAGTAAATAATAACATAATTGATAATTCACAGAGTTGATTAAACATTATGACTATTTCATTCAAAATATACTTATATATTTTTACTTATAAATATTTTTTATGTAATTGCTATTAAAAAAAATAATGAATCGCTTAAAGAAACACAAACTTTAAATTTCCTACTTTTCTGCAGGAAATTGGGCAATTGTTTATATAAACTTTTTTATAGATCTTGATGGCTACTATCAATCTTTTAAATACTTCCCGCTACACCCAGTGTATTCAGATTCTTGGTGAAATATATGTGTTGACAGTGCACCCACAAAATCTAAGTAATTACCCAAGAAGATGGTTCAGGAGTCGGTCAGAAGAAATGTCAAATAATTGTTAATTATTTCTTCAATTTAAACCTTTTGACTCACATATTGGTCTTCATCAGGGCAAAATAGTTGCAATAGCCAGGCAGGTAAAGAAAATGGGATGATGTTAAGTGAAGGTGGGACAGATTTTACTTTGATAACAATTATTTATCCAATGTTTTTTACTGACTTAGTTGTGAACCATCTTCTTCTGACTTTGATATGCTATAACTTGGGACTGATTGCATCCAAAATGAAAAAAAAAAGTAGTGGGGACATGCCTGAGAATCTAGCAATAGTGTAGCTATGTGTTAAAGAGATTATGTCTATAATTTCATACTAAGAGTGCAAAGGTGTAATTTAAATGCTTCTTTTGGGTCCTATGACCCCAAGATATGGTACTTAAGTACTGAGGTTAAATTTTTTCTCTTGTTTGGAGCCAATTTCCGCAATTCTCAATGGCTACTAAATTAATAGTTTTTTTATGCTTTGCTTTTCTGTTTATTTTAACTAATCCTGTCTTTATTACATTTCCTATTTTGGTATAATTCCTTAACCTGATTTTAGAGATAAAGACTCATTTACTTCTGTATATATAATAAGGCTATTTTGTATTAATAGTCAGGTAATCAAACATGTAATTATATCCATTAATTTTTGTACTTCTCTGAGTTTCTTTGCTTAACCTGTTAGATATTGTGCTCTCTTATAAGGACCAAATGAAGAAAAACATAGAATTAATATACTTGCTAGCTCATTAAATAGATGTTTGGCATCCAAATAAATAATTTCATATAGTCAAATAGATTAAAACACTGGTTAATACTTTTTGAAATAATATGATTTAAATTTAATAATGCTTTAATATGGTTAATAGTGAATTGTTCTTTTGGACCAATACAATATAAAACTATATTGCGATTTAAAGAAAAGTTTAGTTATTCTGAAGAACAAAAATATTAAATGTTCAACAGACAACAAATCTATTTCATAAAAAAATCCCCAAGTAATGAATATGATAGAAATTCATCTCTTTGAAAGTGGTAGCAGTAAATATTGCAGGTCCTGTAAAACTGATCACATGTAATCAACAGGTTAATCTGTATAGGTTATAAAGTGAGAAATGGTAAACAGAAAAAAAAATAAGAGAAATTTAAATAAATAAGATTCCGTTAAGAAAGTTAAATTAATAAGAGAAATTTAATTGTCTATTACTTACTTTAAAAGAATAATTACACACAACAATTATATCTGGTTTAATGTCAAATGAACTACTATCAGTTTCTAATACAGTCAGTTCAAAAATAAAAACTTAATTTTAAACTCTTTCGATAAGCAAAACCACTTGGAATCACAACAAACTAAAAGTGCAGACACTATCTTATCACACTGATAACAGTTGACGCTTCACAAACCTGATTATACAGCACTTTAAGCTGGTTTGTCTGGGCGATATTTCTTATTTTTATATCCAAATCATTAAATTGAGCGTAAAAAGTTTAAATTAGACATAAATAAATAAATACTTAATTCTGTTTGACAGTGAAAATGAAGGAACTTTTATCTGGGATACGATAACAGAATACAGAGGACATGGGCAAATTCCTGAACTCGGTGCTGTCCAGTTTATAGACGGATCCACTGCCATCGCTGAGCTAGCGTTGAGTTTAGGAACTTGCTATATTTACATTTTGATGTAATTATGGGATAATGGAAGGAGTATCGCTGGGTAGTGCTTTTGCTCATGTCTATCAAGACTTTTTATTTTATTTTATTTATTTCTCATGAATATGCTAGCACATCTGCTAATTTTCGATAGTTGTAATAACAGGTGTTGATAAATAAATGAAAGTGCAAAACAAAAAAAATAAATAAAAAAACGAATATATTTACAGGGACAGCAATAAGCTTATAGTAAGAATTGCCACTACTAACATGCTTGACACCACGAGGAGGCTGAAAAGGTCGTGGACGAGAGACCTTCTGTAAATTATATTTAGAGTCTGAAATAATGCCATGGAAGAGATACCACTGGACATTGTTTTTTCCTCATGCCTGACATGCCATTATTATTTTGTGAATAATCTTGCCAGACAGTCCACTGATTTTCGATTATGTATTAGACAGATGTGGATGTAAAAATAAAGTCATAAAAAAAAAAAATAAATAGAAATTAAGGAATATAAACACTGGTTTTATGTACTTTAAATGATCTACCAAGGAGAATTTTATTAAGGGCCCCTTATACGGTCAATATTATTGAAGCAATGTAATTGAAGGCAATATATTGAAGGGGTACCTCACACGGGTCAATTATATTGAGTCAATATTATACCAACTAGAATCACCCCTGTGAAGTTGGGCACACATTCTCAATTTTTTTTTTTAATTTTAGGGGTTCTGATAGTCTCCTTAAGAATTCTTGATTTACCTATACTTTTTAGAAATAGTACTATTGTTTAAACCATTCTATTGTTTTTAGAAATCTTAGGAGAGCCATAGCAAAACTCAATAGAACTTCTGAAATCCAAAAAAAAATTCGACCAAAATTATGATGGAACGAATACCAAGTCCGAAGGAATGAAAATTCATCTCGGAAAAAAAATATTCTGATTGGTGTTTTAATAGCTCCTCAGCGAATACAACCGATAATTACTGGTGTGTTTTAATCTAAGATTTTAAGAAAAGTTTTTGAGCATCAAAGTATCGAAAATGTTTTTTTGCAACTTGCGAGGCTTATATTTTTTTTTTGGTCAACTTCAGGGCAAAGGTTCATTATATTAATTGTTAGAACTCTTAGGAGGCCATAGAAAAACTCAACAGAACTCCCGAAATCCAAAAAAATATTATTCTGATTGTTGTTTTAATAGCTCATCAGGGAGTACAACCGATAATAATTAGTGTGTCTTAATCTAGGATGCGAAACGAAAAAGTTTTCGAGCATCAAAGTATCTTTAAAAGTATAAAAAAAAGAAGCAATAAATGAAAGTATAACAAAGTATCACCCACCTACGGAAACATATGTATATCCGTTTTATCTGTTAAAAACAAAATCGGAGGGATGGTTCAACCCTCTCCTCCCCCTTCAAAAAAAAAAAGAAAATGAAAAATAAATGAAATTAAAACAAAGTATCTCCCACATACCGAAATATATACCCATTTTATATTTTTAAAAAAATGCACGTTTATATAATTACTTTATAATTTTTTCTTTTTTATGTGAAATTATTAATTTTTTTTGTTTGTCATTTCTTTTTTGAAGTAGGGTTCTATTTTTAATGTTTATTAAATTGTAGTAACTAATTAATTATAATAGTTTTATCATTTATCTTTTAATAGTATTAAAGATTTTTGATTTCCAATGAGGCTGAAGCCTTATTTTTTGTAATCAAGAGGTTATTTTTAACTTTTTAAAACAACTCTTATGTTTTACAATATGTTTATGATATTTTAAAGATAGTGGTATGGTTGACTTTTAAAATTATGAGGATGAAAATAATCAGGATAAGCAGTAATTTATGCTGCTTATTTGATTTGTCAACGATCCAAGTATATTGGGCATCATCTCTGTTAAAGATAAAAAAAAACAAAACAGAAAAATGATTTTTTTCATAAGTTGTAATTTGTTTCTCACTTTCAGATACAATTTTGTAGTTTTAGTCTAGGGCAGTGATTATATTCCTCATGGTAGGGTCCACGGGCGGATCTACGGAGGGAAGGGGGGAGGGGCTTTCGGGCTGAAGCCCCCCCAAAATGGTAAAATATAACCATGTTTTATCGAGAAAAATATAAAAAAAGTATCTCTTAAAGTATTATTGTTCGTGTAATTACATTTAAAAGGGCTTTAGGAATCACTTAAACACCATTTAATACTGGTAGTTAGTTTCTTTCTTTTTTTTCGAAAGTAATTATCGTTATTTTCATGAAAAAATACTTTCGGGCTGAAGCCCCCCCCCAAAATTAAATCCTGGATCCGCTAGTGGTTGGGTCGAAATGTAAACAAATATAATAAACAACATAGATGACTGCGTATACTGATTATTTATCATCCTTTTTAATATTACATTTTTGTGTTTAAAGCAGATTTTATATTTAAAGAGATGTAATTTAAATTAGTCAACACTATTTCTTTTTTATTATTTGTTATAAACCTACTTTCCATCAAAAGAGGATAAGTACATTTTAAAAATTTATTGTATGGCTTGCCTTGGGAATTAGTTCTATTTCCTATGTGGTTAATTTCTGACTGCGGAGTAGTTACCCTATAGATAACCAATCTATTCCGGTAGGCCCGCCACGAAATAATGTTTAATATATCCAAGCCGAAATCGAATCTGCTTCTGATTCGAGGATATCAAGCTGATGACTTAATACAATTGGCCACCAGGACCTCTTGGAATGAGATATAAATTCGAAAATTTTAACTACATATTAAGGCAAGCTTTTCAGTCGTTAAGATATCTTTTAATTTCACTTCGAGATGTCTTCTTATAATTTTTTTTTTCTAATTCCGTCATTTATACTTTATTTCACATATATAAGTAAACTGTTGCAATCCAGTGGTATTTTAATTCTTTTCTTTCTCAAATCATACTAACCAAAATGTATTACGATATCCTTTCTTCTAATTTGCGCCTACATGATTCGGGTGGACGGATTCGATAATCAAATCCGATGGATGCTGAAATTGGATATCTCATAAAAACCAATTTCCAAATATCCTGAAACTGCGAGGTGAGAATTCTTCAACAGTGTGTAAGCAGTAAAATAGCCGGGAAGACGTCGACCTCAGGGGTGTTGACACTACACCCACAACTCTTTGCCAAAACCAACTTTGGTCATCATGTCTTCGGTCTCACGTTACTTCGATGTATGCTGGTTTCCAGATGGTTCCACGGGGAGGAGAGAGGAGGACTTTCGGGCTGAAGCCCCCATGTGACCATGTTTTATGGAAAAAAACCTTTTAAAATTATCTCTTAAAGTATTATGGTTTGTGTAATTAAATTTAATAGGACTTGAAGAATCACTTAAACACCATTTCATGTAGGTAGTTAGTATTTTTCTTTCTTTTTGCAAAGTAATTATCGTTATATATATATGAAAAAACTTTCGGGCTGAAGCCTCCCCCTCCCCCAATTAAATCTTGAATCCGCTTGTGCCAAGATCCATTAATTTTTTTAAACAAACAAATAAAATTAAAACCAGAATCTTTTACAAAAGGTTTTTAAGGGATGAATATAAACAGGTGTTTATAGTTTCAAAAACGAATGTTAGGGATTTGTCTGTTGTTGATACTATGTTTTCTAAAATAATTAATCTTAAATTTATGATAACGAAAAAATATCGATTTAAAAATATTATAAATTCATTATAACTCCTGTAGGTAATGAGTAACAGATTTGTTTTACTGCTGCGACTTGCGTCCCATAGACATGACTGATAATGTCGTTCCACCCCAGCTGTTACAAGGCAATTTTTTTAAATATGGTTTTTATTTATTTATTTATTTTATTGATTGGCCATTTTTTTAATACTTTCATTTCACTAATGCTGCCATAAAAAAATTGTCGTCCTAGGCAAGTGCTTAGTCGTGTCGGAGACGACCAATTTTTTTCCAGCTCTAAGGCATCAACTTAAAAAACCAGACTTCGGGAAAATGGGTTATAAGGGATTTTTTTAGACTAATTTTGTTGTATATATAGTATTTTTTAATTATTTTGAGAGTTAGCAGTTATGCGATTTCTAGTTTCAACTTCAACATCAGGAAGAATTTAAGTTTTAATTTGCCTCAGAACATTTCGAGTAAATAATGGTTTAAAAAGATCTAAATTCATGCACATTTTCAAAATATTCGGCCAGGTCATTGAAGGCGTAACCGGTAGTTGATTTTAAGATTTTAAGTTATTGAGTTACTGATAACCTGATTAGATGTGGGATAGCTTTGCTCCCATTTAGAAAATGATTAGTTAATTCAAAAACTTTATAAATGGATATATAGTTGAGTATTATTACTTTAACTTACCTATATATATATATATGTGATATGTAGTTAGAGAAAGTATTGCGATCGTGAAAATTTTCGAAACTGAGGTTTCAACGGAAATGCACGATTTGAGTTCCCTTGAGTCCAAATAATTAAGTTTCAATAAAATAGTCTGTGTTTGTGTGTGAACAGACTGGCTTAAAAAACAAAAGTCGTACGAAACTGATATTACTTATTTACGATAGTCATATACCTATGAATAATTAAGTGGTCTTTAATATCATAATAGCTAACGTTAACCTCAAACATCTTGGAAACGTTTCTCATTTTCACCATATCATCGATTTTAATTAATTTCCTCGTTTTCTCATTATAAATAATTTTCGCGAAAATCTGCCTTTTTTGTA